GATGTACCATTACATCCACACCGCTGGCCAGTCAGAGTTAAAATTCTTTCTGCTATTCCTGTATCGTGAAATATACAAGTTTTGTTTACAGAGTATTGAACTACCATCGTTGTTTTTAACCAATTATAAATTATCATTGTCTATTTATTTACTAGCTAAGCCTCCTAGTGAGTTTAGTTAAATTTTTATCTATTTTGAGATTTTACAACAGCTTTTTAAATAATAAAGTATCCAATCTACATTTGTAAAATATAATATTCAATGGGAATATGATTAACGCACAGTGTAGAGAAGCACATTGGACCAATTAAAACATATTAGGTTATAGCTACTGAAACTGCTGTTTATATGTACAAAATCGAATGAGACTGTGTCTACCGAAACAGCCATTTAGATGTACAGTATAAGATTAGATTTATCTACAAAGACGGTTGTTTAGATATACAGGATCAGATCAGATTACATCTAATAAGACGACTGTTAGAAGTACAGAATCAGATCAGACTCTATCTACCGAGACAGCCGTTTAGATGTACAGTATAAGATTAGATTTATCTACAAAGACGGCTGTTTAGATATACAGAATCAGATCAGATTACATCTAATAAGACGACTGTTAGAAGTACAGAATCAGATCAGACTCTATCTACCGAGACAGCCATTTAGATGTACAGTATAAGATTAGATTTATCTACAAAGACGGCTGTTTAGATATACAGGATCAGATCAGATTACATCTAATAAGACGACTGTTAGAAGTACAGAATCAGATCAGACTCTATCTACCGAGACAGCTGTTTAGATGTACAGGATCAAGTTACGTTATATTTACGAAGTCGGCTGTTTGGATGTACAGAACCAGATTGGGTTATATTGATCATGAAGGCTGATTATGTGTATCAGACTGTACGTATCAACTGTTTAGATGTCTAGAACCAGATTAGGTTGTATCTTTCAGATGTTACTTTGGTTTTTAATTTACTTATAAACCACAGCTCAATCTATTGTCCTTTTTCAGGTGTTATGTTTGTTTACTTCACTTGTAAACCACGTTTATGTTTTCTATATTTCTTTATCACAAGGATTTAAAGAGGAGTTCCATGTTAGAAAACAAACCCGACAGCTAATGTTCATAACAAATACATTGAAACTCGAACATTTGTACAATAAAACCACAACAAACACAAATAGCTTCGAATAAAATCTAACTATTCAAGTATAACAAATTTTAGAGTCAAATCATGTAGGAGAAAGCTTTATAAAAACCATTGAGGATGGTTTTCTTCAACAGTTCGCTAGGAAACCTACAAGAAACAATGTTATTTTAGATTTATTGTTAACTTCTAATAAAGAAATGATTGATAGGGTAGAGGTTGGGTTCAAATGATAATTTCTCAATTATACTTTATACTTTGTTGCATATGGAGATAAGGAATAATGAGACTTTGGTTCCAGATTTCAAGACAGCAAATTTTGAAGATTTGAGACAAGAATTTTAGCGATTCTTAACGTAACGATAGATTCTTCTAACCCATTTTCAGTTCTTATAAACGATTCTTAATGTAATGTAAGATTCTTATTTACCCATTTCTGTTAACCATTCACAATAAAATGTACCGTCCTACTTGGTTTTTATAGATTTTTTTCTGTTTTGAAATATTGTTTTTTATTTTATTTTAGTATATCTATGAAATTATATTTCATGCTCTTAATACTTTGTTTTATTATCTCTGTATAATTGTTTATATTTTCAAAGATGCAATGAAAGAGAACATTTTAACGGATTAAAAAACACACAACACAAATCAGCAAAAATTAATTTGGTTTATTTTATAAATAGTTGGAAAATACTAATAAGTATTATGGCATTTCCAAGTCAGTGTTTCGCTGCGACACTTTCAAAGTGTTGGATTATTTGGACGTAACATCTTCAACTGGTGGACACGTGTTTCTGTAACACGTTCACACTGTGGACATGTGTTTCTGTAACACCTTCAAAGTGTAGACACGTGTTTCTGTAATACGTTCACACTGTGGACATGTGTTTCTGTAACACCTTCAAAGTGTAGACACGTGTTTCTGTAATACGTTCACACTGTGGACACGTGTTTCTGTAACACCTTCAAAGTGTAGACACGTGTTTCTGTAACACTTTCAAAGTGTAGACACACGTTTCTGTAACACATTCACACTGTGGACATGTATTTCTGTAACACCTTCAAACTGTGGATATGTGTTTCTGTAACAGCTCCAAACTGTATATATGTTTTCTCTAACACCTTTAAACTGCGGACATGTTTTTCTGTAACATATTCAAACTGCAGAGATATTTGACTGAAACATCTTGAAACTGTGGACAGGTTTCTCTGTAACACCTTTAAACTTGTGAACAGAATTTCACGTTCGATTAAGTTTTGTTTTACAATACTAGGTAATGTTCAATAAGAGAAATAACTGAAAATGTTTTTGTTACTCATTTCTTACACATTAAAGATAACATTTTAAATGAACGACATTCGGTTGGTCATTTTTTATCATTGCTTCTGTAGGGTCATGTAATAACCCTTTTCAACGAAAAATATTCATTCACTCGGATTATAATGATGTGGTCAGATCAGGAACTTAGAATTTGAAAGAAGGAGATATCCCGTGTATTTAATGGCATCGGAAAACAAAGGAACATGATAAACTTTGGACACAAAGACCAGCCAGAAGTAGGTCTACAACAAGTTGTACCACACTCAGGGTTAGCAAAGAGCGGCGTATGGTGTGACAGGCGAGAAACCTCGAACACAAAATTCAGCATCAATAGTAGTCCACGTGCCCAGGTAACAATATTCGACACAATCAAGAAGTAGCTTGGTCTGAAAAAGATGCCACCAAGATAAGGCTTCAAGTAATACCTTCCATTTAACCGCCAAGCAGCTATAGAATTGAACAGGTATTAATGCTATTCCATTCGAAGAGATATCGGTTAAGTTTTCAGATGTATTTCTATATGATTGGACTTTCAAAACAGATGCTGGGAAACCATCGCCATCGTATACTTGACGAATTATGGAAAATAGAAACGGTGAAGTGGTGTGCTTGGGACAGGACAGCCTTACGACTGAGCCTTTGCAATGGAAGTTACATTATATAGCTGGCCATGGCGACGTGGACTGTAACGACGATGTGAGGCTCCAAAATAATTTTGATTTATCGTACTCAACCTATGTAAATCAAAATTTACAGCTGAAAGAGAATTAAAACAAAGTAATATCAAAAACCCCGAATCGACAAGCCACTTCATGAACAACTATACATGTATGTATTAGCCCATTATTAGTTCGTGGTTTACTCACTTGGCAATAATTTGAAAAAAGAAATTATTCCCCTGAAAAAGGACCGAAGGCCGCCTGGAGGGGGTCACCTGTTTTAACCAATAGAACCACTATACAGTAGTGTGTGTTGTCTGTCAGTCAGTCAGTTGACACTAAAATGACGTCACATAATTAAAAAAACATACGCATACTATGAATCATGAGAAAAATTATGCACTTTTTAGGTTACAAAAGGTTACTTAGGTTACTTTAAAGTAAGAAATAAGAATATTTGTAACTTTTCATTTTTAATTTATTTACTGTTGAAACAGAATACTTTTGGGGACCCTTCGCAACAAAATCTAGTATAAATATTACTTTACATTAAACTTAAATTTTCGATTATAAATACTAACAATTCAAGGTAATGACTGACATAATTAATTTCGTTATGGATTAGGAAAATATTACTTCATCATCCACTATACTCTCATTACCAGGATCACCTCTGTTATAGGAGTTAGAGTATAAAAACATTATTTAACCATCTACTATACTCTCACCACCAGGATCACCTCTGTTATAAGAGGTGGGGAGCATTAAGTACATTACTTCACCATCTACTGTACTCTCATCACCAGGATAATCACATCTGTTATAGGAGTTAGAGAGTATTATAAACATTACTTCACCATCCATTGTACTCTCATCACCAGGATCCTCACATCTGTTATAGGAGTTAGAGAGTATTATAAACATTACTTCACCATCCATTGTACTCTCATCACCAAGATCATCACATCTGTTATAGAAGTTAGAGAGTATTAAAAACATTACTTCACCATTCATTGTACTCTTATAACCAGTGTCACCTCTGTTATAGGAGTTAGAGAGTATTGAAAACATTACTTCACCATTCATTGTACTCTTATAACCAGTATCACCTCTGTTATAGAGTTAGAGAGTATTAAAAACATTACTTCACCATTCATTGTACTCTCATCACCAGGATCACCTCCGTTATAGGAGTTAGAGAGTATTAAGAACATTACTTCACCATCTACTATACTCTCATCACCAGGATCACCTCTGTTATAGGACGTCTGGACAGGGGAGTCAACTTGTTAAAACCATCTCTTAGACTACACTTATAATAATGGGTATTTGAGCATTACCCACGATATGTGTATGTCGGTAATGGGACGTGTACCTTGGAACTTCAGATCCACAGTCCGACAAGCCAACCATTGGACCACGTTGTACATTAGCAAAAGTAGAGAAGATCACGTGATTTTTAACATAATTGACCTATTTATAAGTGGGCATACAAAAGCTTGATACAGAGAGACGTGAATGAAGTAAATATTGTAGCACTCATTTTTAAAAAGTTGAAAGCGTATCAGTACAAATACATTAAAAATACTGAATTATTCTAAATGAGCCGTTGTATATTAGACATTTGGAGCTTACGTAGCCGCTCTTTCAAGCAATAGGTTGATTTATCATGTGACAAAAGTTACAAGGGAATAACGCAAATGAAATATAAATGTCTCTCCAACAACTACGTCAACTTCATATTCTTAACTTACACATACACAAAACCTACAAGAATATATAAACATTTCGCCCAGCGAGACTAACTTAAGAACTTACGCGCACAAACCTTCTAGGAATAGGTAGAGATTTCGTCCAGCAAGACTACCTTAAGAACTTTTCATTCACCCAATACCTACAAAAATAGGTAGAGATTTCGTCCAGCAAGACTACCTTAAGAACTTTTCAATCACCCAAAGTTTAGCTGGTGTTTACTCGATTGTTTATTTAATGTTTTTTACCTTAACGTTCTGTTAGTTTCTCCAATCGTTGTCTCCACTCATCTGTTTACAACGCCAGGCCACAGAACTTACTATATCGATAGCCTGATGTTCCCTGGTGGCAATGTGTTCCTGAGAAGTACAATGTTTAAATGTAATATACAATACACTTAAGTATACAAAGGAGTAATAGGCACTTTTATCGTGGTAAACGTTGCTACATTTGTTGGGACGAAACTAGTACTTGTAACCGTACGGTACTTCGTGCTAAATGCGTTATAAATGAGCGTATAGACACGGACTTTGGTACTGGTTGCCGTGGTAACAGTGGTGTAAGACGACGTGATGGTGCTGTACTGCGGCTGGGTCGCGAACAGTTGCTGGAACTGTTGCCGATGTGGAAGCGCCTGTGTGTTGACCACTGGTTGGACTGTTGTGAATACAGAAGACAACGTTCGTTCTGTGGTTGATAAAAGCTCGGACAATGTTCTAAACCGCGTAGCTCGACCATCGTAGAAGCTGACGACCTTGGTGCTAAAGACAGTCTCAGTCGTCACGTACGAAGAGGTTTTAGTGATAGTTGACATAAGGGCTACTTGTTGGTTGAGTTGCTGCAACCCCAAGTATACAGCCGCTAAGGGGTTCTGGGACAACGCCGACTCCAGTGACAGTAGAGGATTGTCGTTTCGCAAACCTCGGATTCCGGGCAGTGGGGTTTGGAGAGGGACACTTGACTGCGAGTCCATGTCGATGACGTCTGGAAATTGAAAGTCTGAAGCGTTAACCACTAACAGGTGGGCTGGAGGCATGGTTCTGTAGGCGGTGATAGTCTTCCGAATAATGAAGCTTTCAGTTACAGTGCGAGAGGCTGTGGACTCTCCATCAAACACAGGTATCAAAAACGTCCGCCACGTGTGCTGTGTAGTGGAGTAGGTCCGTGTGATGACGGTAAAAGAAGGACTAACGCTCATTAACAGATTATCTTCGTCTTCAGTGAACTCGAAGAGATCATTGGATAGAAGTTCCGTGGGGTCAAGTGTATGAGGAACGTGGGTGGTTATGGTTAACGTCCGCACTGACTTACGACGACCCACGTGTAAAGTAACCTCGCTAGTTACGGTGGTTAGTTCGTATACTACACTATCAGGATCCACTGGATCCTCATTTGGCACCGTTTCGCTATTATCTTCTAGAGAAAACGTCTTTTCTGTTTTGTGGACTTCCGGACGCCTTGCCAGCCTCACTTTGAAGCGGTTTAAACGAACCTGAAAGATAAAATATATTTCCGACATGAATGCCACACAAGTTATTAATGTCAAGAAATAAAGTATCTTAATAATTATATAGTTTTATATTTATATATATATCATCGATCCATAAAATACGATTATTAATTAATGGTTCAAAACAAAAACTGAAGTAGATGGCCACTTCTTAAATATTAACCCGCATTACAAAATATCAACCTGCATTAAAATAATATTATCCTGCATCACAAAATGTTTACCTGTATCACAATAATGTTATACTACACTGCAAAATGATAACTTGCATTATAATAATATTATCTTGCATTACAAAATATTAGCCTACATTACAAATATTGACCTGCATTACAATACTATAAACATTCATGAGAATAATATTACCTCGCATCACAATTATATAAACATTCATGACAATAATATTACCTTGCATTACAAAATATCCACATGAATTACAAAAAATATCCAACGACTTTTACCAAGGACAGCCTATATGTAAAAATGCCTGATCATTTTAGTTTGTAGAGAGCAGAACTTACAAAAGTAAGAATTAGGATATTAGACCACAAACCGTGTTAGTGTTCCTCTTCCTAGGAACATACTGAAACCTGGCAGAAGGTCTCCTGAGTGTGCGCATAAACACAGTGTCTTCTACTTTCTCAGACTGCCTAGAGGCCCACAAACGTTCTCGAATCGCCAGAGTACTGGTGTGAATAGGGTCCAGAAACTGAGTTGGTCGGTGAGACTGATGTTGTGAGAATTCTGGGGACTTAAAGGATGACTCGAGAAGTGTAGGGAATCTATCATCTGTGTTTGGTTCTGAGTCTTTAATACCATCATTTGGTTGTCGAATTGAACCTATGCGTGGATGGTTACTTTGTTTTAAACTTTTAGAGACTGTTACTCGGCGGGAAAATTGAAACCTCGGTTTCCTGGAGATTTGTTGCGGAGCAACAGGAGTAGGGGAAGGTTGGATCTTCTTTTGTACAGGTGTACTCGAAACAGCAAAGATGATCCGCGAAGTGCTTTGAAGGATTTGAGCATACTTTCCTTCGATGTAAGTTCCAATGACACTGGTTTCATAAACTGTTGTGATTCCGCCTCCTACTAGTGTTCCCCCCAAAATGGTCACTAAACCTGTTGGATAATGAGGTAGAGAAGGTGCTACTCTTGTCTTGGTAGAAACAGTTGGCAAATCTCTGGCGAGCGATTTGGAAGATGAACGAGATGATGACGATTGTGTCCTTGATGGATGAAAAGTAGTTGAGCTTGGAATGATATTATTAAACGTTTTTTGGTACTGAGATTCTTTCACTGTACGATGAAGATCACTAGGAGATTTAAATAATTTAGTGTTTTGTATGGTGGCTAAGTTTTCAGTTTTCATATTTTCATTATTGTTACTAATTACAGCTGACGAAGTTGTCGGTAATGGTGACACTCGGAGGGATTTGGGTTTTTGAGTTTCATATTCGCTCACTGGTGTAAATATGATGACCGTATTATCTACAGTTGTTCGAAAGTTAAGAAACCCACGGACAGTTACAGTTGGTCGAGGTTTCTTCACCTCCATTATCTCAGCTGCAGCAACAGAGAGCTCATCCAGTGTTCCTCTGTAGACTGGGGTGGTAGCATCTTCGCTGAAAACAGGCAAGCCTGCGAAGACAGAAAAATACTACACTGTCGTTCTTTAGTGTAACCTATTTTAGAAGAAAATTCTGGATTTACAGATAGTTGTAAGGAAGGTATATATATATTTGTTAACAGAGAGTTGTAAGGAAGGTATATATTTATTAACAGATAGTTGTAAGAAAGGTATATGTTTATTAACAGATAGTTGTAAGGAAGGTATATGTTTACTAACAGATAGTTGTAAGGAAGGTATATGTTTATTAACAGATAGTTGTAAGGAAGGAATATGTTTATTAACAGATAGTTGTAAGGAAGGTGTATACTTGTTAACAGATAGTTGTAAGTAAGGTATATATTTGTTAACAGATAGTTGTAAGTAAGGTATATATTTGTTAACAGATAGTTGGAAGGAAGATATATATTTATTACCCGACTTGAAGTATTGTAGCGATGAGGATTTATAGTTTTTGTTTCGGTGAGAATACCTAACATTTATGAATCATGTTCACAAAGATAGATCTTTTCCCTATTCCGTAATTCCGTTCTACTGGCAGAATTAAAAATATGTTTGAAACCAAAGACACTATACCCGTTCCTCTACACTCGTGTGTCGTATATAAATATACTTGTGTTAGTTGTAAAGCTACCTATATTAGTAGAACTACACCTCACCAAGAAATACGTGCACACGAGCACATGGGAATTTCAGCAAGAAGCGGAGGTAAGCTAAGTAATCCTCTTGAGTCTTGCATCCACTTGTACAGTGAGAATAGCAACCACCCTGTACTTCAGTCTTGTATCCAGTTGTACAGTGAGAATAACAACCATCCTGTACTTCAGTCTTGTATCCGGTATTACAGTGAGAATAACAACCAACTCATACTTCAGTCTTGTATCCAGTTGTACAGTGAGAATAACAAACACTCCATACTCCAGTCTTTTATCCGGTTGTACAGTGAGAATAACAACCACCCTGTACTTAAGTCTTGTATCCCGTTGTACAGTGAGAATAACAACCAACTCATACTTCAGTCTTGTATCCAGTTGTACAGTGAGAAGAACAACTACCCTGTACTTCAGTCATGTATCCGGTTGTACAGTGAGAAGAACAAACACTCCATACTTCAGTCTTGTATCCGGTTGTATAGTGAGAATAACAACCAACTCATACTTCAGTCTTGTATCCAGTTGTACAGTGAGAATAACAAACACTCCATACTTCAGTCTTGTATCCGGTTGTACAGTGAGAATAACAACCAACTCATACTTCAGTCTTGTATCCAGTTGTACAGTGAGAATAACAAACACTCCATACTTCAGTCTTTTATCCGGTTGTACAGTGAGAATAACAAACACTCCATACTTCAGTCTTGTATCCAGTTGTACAGTGAGAATAACAAACACTCCATACTTCAGTCTTTTA